AGCCAACCCCATCGGGCCCCTCAGGGCAGCGGGGCGGCTGCTGGGGACACGGCACCAGCCTGGCAGGGTTACCCCGGACAGGGGGACAGCTGGGGCCACTCACCAGGAGCTTCAGCATTTCCTTGGTGTCCGGGTCCACTTCAATGATCTCCTGGTCCAGGGCAGAGACCTGGGGACAGAAGGGAGATGAGGCCCCACAGTCACGTCCTTCCTGCCACCGGCTTGTCCCCACACGCCCACTCCGGTCCCATCCCACTGCAAAGGGGCTGCTGGAAGGGACCTGATCCTTCCCCCAGCACCCCTCATCCAGTGCTGCCCAGATGTTGTTTCCACACCAACAAGATCCCACTGCCCGTTGTGGGCAATGGCTCCAGCAACCGGAAGAGCCAGGAGGACCCCAACGGAATCCGGCTCTCCTGCCAAAACACCGCGAGAGCCACCTGGCACCAGAAAGACCCCACACGGAGAGAAGAGCCTCTTTTATGGCAAGGGTTTGGAAACCCAAGGCCTAACCAGCTCCTCACCAAGGCTGCAAGAGAAGACAGGGTCAGGTCCACAACTGCTCCGGTCCCGGTGGTCACCACCACCGCTCACACTTGTGCCGTGACGCGAGTTCCCAGGGCCGGAGCCCGACCACCGCGGCGCTGGATAGAAATGCCCAGTGACCACCTGGGCTGTCCCACCCCCAGGACCCGAGCTCTCCTGCTCCTGAAGCCCAGAGCAACCTCCTCCAACCTTCTCCAGACCCTAAACCTTCATCTCCACATGCTTCCTTCCTCAGGAGGCCACGTCGCACCACTGTTTTTGTCAGAAACCGTGAATAACGCGGGTTCGGCTAATGCTGCATCGCCAGCTACAGCATGGACGCTCCTTCCCTGCTTGGGGTCCCTCCAGGGGTGACTTCTCCCACCGGACCGCCTCATCCTGCCTTTGGAACTCAGCTGGAAGGTCACTACGTAAAACACATGGACAGCTGGTTCCTCCGAGCCCCAGACACCAGCCATGCCACCGCGCCCATTCCTCTCAGATCATCACTAAAATAACCTTCCACGTAACCAAACCTCAGCACTGATGGTTTCAGAGAGCGGAGGTTCCGGAACCAAGCCTGTTTTCCAGCAGCTCTACCGGAAGCGGATCGAGGAGATGCGGAAAAGGGGCGGGAAACACTTTCAGAGCTCCTCTACCTGCGCCATCAACGACCCGGTCACAGATGAGACCTCAACGCCTTGCAGGTTCAAGAGAAGGGGTTTCACCAGTCCCCTCTCTTCACCTTGATACATTCTCTTGCAACCCAAGTTCTACTTTTCCTCATTTTAAGTGAGGAAACGGAGGAGGGATATCATCTGCCGACCGGCAGCAGAGTCGCAACGCAAGAAGTCAACTGCTCCTCCCGCCCCGAGCAGCAGTTTTGGAGGGAGAGCGCTGATCCGAGGCCAAAATCCACCGTAGCCTTCCTCCCCCCAACCCTCCTCAGCTCATCCTGGCAGAGGTTCTGTCTGACAGAAATCCGGAGCCACTGATGGAGAAGGCACCTGGAGGAAGGATGGCCAGACGCCGGAGCGGGCAGAGTCTTACCTCGGGGACGTAGTTGTCCCTCCTCTCCCTCTCCTCCTCCTGCAGTTTGATGGAGATACCTCGCACGGGTCCCCTCTGAATACGCTTCATCAGGTGGGTGACATACCTGCGGGGGACACGGGACCATCCAGCGCTTCCCCACTCCCATCCCACAGCCCG